CTACATCCTATTTTGTTGCTTGCGCTGATTGACCACTTGAGATGGCACACATTAGTGGTTTTCCACACAATGCTTTCTGTGTTTGACTGTTTCACTTAATGCATTTTCCTCCATGGTCACCCAGGGTTTTACAGTGACAGGGTAACCTCATCCTTTAAGACCAAATAATATCCCATTGTGTGTGTATATCTTCATTAATTCATTTGTTACCGGCATTGAGTTTGGCTCTGTATCTTGTGTATTGTGAGTGTATTTGACAGTCTTACAATGATAGCAGTTTGGCAGATTGATGTCATTTTCTTTGGTTCCACACACAGCAGTGAGATTGATAGATGTTTTGTTTTTAAATTTTTGAGGTCCCTCCCCATTGTTCTCTATACTGGCTGTATTAATTTCCCTTGCTTCCATCACCAGGTAATTTCTTTTTCATTAATACCCCAGACAGAACGTCTCTCATCATTTTGAGGTTATCCGTTTCAGATGTCAAGTGATAGTTTACTGTGGGTTTGATTTGCATTTCACTGATGATTAATAATGTTGGATTATTAATGTTCATGTACTTCTTGCAATTTACCTGTTTTAAATTTTCTTAGCGGTTCATTGATTCTATCTTATGTTTATGTCTTGCATGTATGTATGTGTACCACATGCATGCCTGGTGTCTTTGGAGTTTGAGGATAGCATAGAATTCTCCCGCCTCTCCTTTCTAGGATTACAGGCAGGTGCCACCACGCCTGGTTTATGTGGTGCTAAGGACATGACTTAGAGCCATGTACTTGCTAGGAAAGCACTCTACCAGCTAAGCAGTGTCCCCAGCCTCCCAGATCAATACTTATACGAATAATCCTATTCTTAATGATTGCTGAGGGGAAAGGCTGGAATGTGCATTTACCGGTTTCATGAGGAATTTCGTCTCCTTGGCATAGATACTTTGTCATGGATAATCAGTTTTCAGACTGTTGTTGGGCTTGCTTGGGTGTCTTGTTCCCATGTGCCCACAGCACTTTAATTCCTATAGAATTCTGCATATTTTGGTGTCTCTGTCTGCTTCTCACAGCACATTTAATTATGGCTAACCTTTATACAGATGGCAGAGACAGCTCTTTGTTTTTCTGTTCTACTGAGTTCTGTCTTACCTGAATTACTTACTAATATACCTTGTGAAACGTTTCAGAAAGCTTCGTACAAATTAATAATACAGGAATATAAAGCAGACTTAAAGAGTTTCTTTGGAAGTATTTCTCCTTACTACTTACTATATATTTTCAACTTAAAATGTTAAACATTAATTTTATGTGTATGAGTGTTTGATTGCATGTATGTAAGTGCACCACATGCATGCCTGGTGCCTGTAGAGGTCAGAGAGATCATCGGATCCTCTGGGAATATTTACAGATGGTTGTGAGAAGTCATGGATGCTGAGAACCAAACTGGTCTTCTGCAAGGGCAGCAAGTGCTCTTAAGTCCTGAGCCTGAGCCATCTCAGTCCCTACCTACTGTATTTTAAACATGCAATTTCCTCAAAATATGTCCTTTTTTAAGCTATATCTCATCATACTATATATTTGATAACCATGTTCTTACTTTTGATATTTTTAATGTCTGTCAAGATAAATTTGATCCCTAGTCATAGCTAGGTTATAAGATTCTAGAGAGGGAAACTCTTTCTGAGACAGGGCTCTCTATGTCCCAGTTTGACCTTTGTTTCCCTGTATAGACTAGGGTGCCATCAATCTCACAGTGCCCCAGCCTGTAGCTGTAGAGCTGGAATTGTCGGGATGCACCACTACACTGGACCCGAAAAGTCATTATTACAAGTTATAATAATGTCTCATTGAAACAGTAATTCAGGAGTATCCTGTTCGTGCACTCTTAGAGAAAAAATGTTAAGTAATGATGATCCATCATTTTCCCCTGCTGTTTAAGCATATTATTTTAACAGACAAATCCTCAAATAATTGATCCTGAAGGAAACGCAACTCCAGTGAGTCAGTCTACTAGAACAAAGAATTTTGACTGAGTGTAGACATCTTGAATGCATACTCTTTTCACTTCTCATCTTTAGGTGGTGAGTCACTGATCTGATCTGGGCAAACAGGTGGAACTAATACAGTTTACTGAAAATAGATTAAAAAGCAAAACAAGTCTTTCCCAAGATGCCCAGACTAGTGCTGTTGGTTCACCCAGAGTCAAGGTGCAAACAATGGCCAGTGCTCAAATTAGTTAGAGAAAGCTATAGTGCCTTTAAATAGAATTCTTAGCCTGTTCCTTAGAATAATATCTATTTTGTGAGTTTTTGGAGGGTGGGATTGGACATAATACAAATGATATAGCTGAATAATCCTCAGTCGTGGTTATTGTTGCATTAGCATTGTAACACTCCCAGGATGCTTGCCATCTGATGGGCTGCAGAGCAGTGTTCACCAGCCTTACCATAGTCGTGTATGTTTGCAAAAGAGGAGAAAATGGAAAGTGTCCTGGACATCCAGATAGGTGGGCCTAGAAGACAATAAAATGTGTGGACTGGGAACTCAATAGATGCTGTATTCAAAGGCTCTTATATTTTTATTACAATTTCACACATGTATATAATGAAATATGATCATTACCACCCTCTATTTCTCCCTTTTTTCCTTTTTGTTTTTCAAGACAGGGTTTCTCAGTGTAGCTTTGGAGCCTGTCCTGAAACTCGCTCTTGTAGACCAGGCTGGCCTTGAACTCATAGATATCCACCTGCCTCTGCCTCCCTAGTGCTGGGATTAAAGACCACCTGGCAATTTCTCCTTTCTTATTCCCTCCATCTCCCTTCAAATTTCATGACCCTCCAACTTTTGATAATCCAGTTAATGTTGTCCAATTATACGTGGGTTTGGGGCCATTCACTAAAGTAGAGAAAGCCACCAGGGGCAATACCCTAAAAAATTATTCTCCTTCTCTATGTGTGACACTGTACCTAGGGAGCTATGAATAAATGTTACTCATGCCGGATAGGGAACTGCATCTGTCTAGAATCTCAAGAGGAGAGAGTCAGCTTTAATTGAAACTTGATTTGTGACATAGAAGAAAGAAAAGAAGCTAAAGCCAGTGGCGGTACTCACCTTTAGTTCCAGCACCCGGGAGGCAGAGGCAGGCGGAGATCTTGAGTTTGAGGACAGCCTGATCTACAAAACGAGTTCCAGGACAGCCAGGACTACTTAGAGAAACCCTGCCTTGAATGAATGAATGAATGAATGAATGAATGAATGCTTAATATTTTAAAAAATCCCTGAGGCTAACATTCCTTCAAACAAATATTGTTTTTGTTACATTATGGGGACTGTATTATACTAACTGTATTAACCATGAAGTGAATGCTTAATTGAACAGAAGCTTTCATTTTGCTTAAGCGATGTGCTATATAGGAGTACAATACTAATAGAAGCTTTCATTTTGCTTAAGCGATGTGCTATATAGGAGTACAATACTAATAGAAGCTTTCATTTTGCTTAAGCGATGTGCTATATAGGAGTACAATACTAATTTTAACTTAGAACTACTCTAGTAGCTCGTTAGCTGATTATAAATAAATTAAGCATGTATTATTTATAGGAAGGTACATGGTTTCCTGGCCAGTTTGGATAATTTGCAAGCTACATGCTCAATCGTTGAAATAACTCTGTGATATTGCCCTAGTCAGATCAGATGCTGTATCCAACCACCATAAATGGAGTGACCTTTTCATAAGAGAGGCTTATTTCTCTTACTCCTGGAGTCTGGGATCCTGTGATCAGGGCCAGCATGGTTGGGTTCTCATTGTCTCTGAGCACTGGATCACTGGTTGCTTGTTATATCTTCATGTTACTAAGCCCTCTGAGAACCTGTTTGTATAGACACCAACAGGTACTGTCCTGGATTAGGGGCTCCCTGGGCTGATCACTTCTGAAATGCCCTGCCTCTTCATGCTGCAGCACCGGAATTGAGATGTAAGCAGTTAAATTTAGGGAGCACGTGGACCTCAGTGTCTCGCAGCCACTTTGGTAGTTTAGCACTATTCTATTACTACTGAGACATCAAAATGCAAACCCCAGGCAAGCCAGGGCCCAGAGGTCCTGGGTTGCCTGTCAGAGGCAGGTGGAGCTGGCTTTTAGAAAATGGTCCAGGTGGATGTTTATCAGATTCAGGATTCAGGCATTGCTGGCTAACAGAGCTGTCCAGGTGAACCAAGGCTCGATTTGGTTCTCTTGAATTCAGCCACATTAGAATTGTCAGGCACAAGCTGGTTGTAGCGGCACACCTTTAATCTCAGCACTCAGGAGACAAAGGCAGCTGGATCTCTGACTCTGAAGCCAACCTGGTATACACAGTGAGTTCTAGGACAGCAAGAATGACATGGTGAGAGCCTGTCTCAAAAAAAAAAAAAAAAAAGTTGACATTTAGGAAGTATAATAACTTTATACCTCTCACTTAGTCTATAAACTTTAGAAATTCTTTTAAACATCAAATCACCGATTACATTTTCAATGCTTTCAGAAGAGTGATTTATTATTATTATTATTTATTTACTGTATAAACTTTGCCATTTACTTGTAGTGACACCTTTGATTTTTATTTATACAGGTCCTGCAGTTAGCGCTCCCGTTAATTTGTTTCATCACCTTTAACATAAGCTCAGGGTTTGCACTGATCGTTTTTAAGGTTTTAAGAAAGAGAAATCACGGTGGGTGTTCTTCAAAGCTGTGAAGCAGACGAGAATGTCTGAACTAGTTGCTTTTTAACTGTTACTTCAGTGGACCCTGGCACTGTCATTGGCACTGGAGATGCAGGTGTTGATGGTCCCTGAAGTACAAGTTCAATTCTTCTTTCCCTGAGTAGGACAAATGCCGCATTTATGAAATGTGTGAGTGATTTGTCCTCAATAGGAGTGAGGTCGAGTCTCCTGTAATCATAAGAACTAGGAATTCAGTGTGTGCCCAGAGGAGTTTTGAGTTCCAAAGTATTTTCTTTCTTAAGCATTGCCTTAATTAGGAAAAATGTGGAGAATGGAAAAAATGCAGACATGAGTCAAGCATCAGTTCTTTACATCAGGATCTAAGGGTTGGCCAAATTTATGCATAGACATATAAATCTCTTTGGCAAGGCACTGAGACTTATCTGCTACTGTAAAAAGCCTTTAGAAATATAGAGTAACAGTTCATTGAGCCTCCAGCCCATCTAGAGACTTGATATGTGGAAAGCTTGAGTGGAAACTCGAGTTTCAGATCCAAAAATAATTTTGCTACAGCCTGTGTGGTTCTTCCAGGTGTTTTGGTTTAAGTTTACATGTAACATATGGAGAATTCAGAAACAGTTTGCCAAGTTTTATCTCAGGTAAGTACTCATAAAATCATATACATTTAGTTACTCTCCCATGTACAGGAATGCATATATTTTAAATGAGAATTATAAACCTTAGTCTTCATTAGTAAAAATAAATGAAAAGAGATATTTATTCTTAGATCATTTTATATTAAATATTCTCATGCCTGGAATATTACGTTTATTAGATAACCATGTTTTGATGGGTCACTGGCAGGTTGGACTGTGTCCAGAGAAGGTGACTGCAGTAGTAACAGCTTTGGAAACTGGTCACCTGAGAGTCAACTGGAGGATGTGGAGATGCAAGGCGCGAGTGAAGTGTTTCGTGTGGAAGGCAGCATACATCTCCGTAGGAGTCATAAGGATGGAGAACTGCAGTTGCTAGATGAAGTCCCTGCAGAGATACAGAACTTTACAGAGCTTTCTAACTGGCCTTGGAATAGCCTTTCACCTTCAAAACTGGGAGTAGTTGAGTGGTTTGGCTAAGCATTGGTGGTACCTGCTCTAAATGGGATTCTAGCCGTGGGCTTATTGTGAACCTTTGAGTTCTAAGGTCACATTGTTCTTTTCATTTATCTTATGTTGAATTTATTTTCATGTCATAAGGTTTTGTTTCTTCAGTTTCTTCTGGTCTGTCCTTTTCTTCTCTGCAGCCACCTCTTCTGGCTTAGGAACAGTTTGTTGCCCACATGAGAGTCGTGTCCATGTGGCAGAGGAGCTGTGTGGGCCAATCTGCCCATGAGCTCGGGAAGTTCAGTGGTGCACATGTGTGACTTGCTCACCTGGAAATGGTCAGTGACAGCTACACCCGTAGCTCAGCATTATTCTCTGCGTGTGCAGCCGGAGTTCAGCCTGGGGACACAGTGCCTCTTCCACTATACACTGTACAGCACACATGGACCTCTTGTTTCATTTGATGCTGCCAAACACTAACTGAAATATTCAAATATTTGCACTTGGTTGCAAATTGCCAGCTCTGGGTCCACTTTGTTGCCTCCATCTAGCTCTGCCATGTCATTTCCATTTTGATGATTCAGTGGGTGTTATCCAGTGTCTTGTTAGTTAGTGGGGATTTTTTTTAACTTGTTTTTATTGAACTATATGTTTTTCTCCACTCCCCTTCTTTTGTCTCCCATGGTCCCCATGTTTACTCAGGAGATCCTCTCTTTTTCTATTTCCCATATATGTACATTAGATGCACACACATGGTCTCTTTAAAGTGACAGCCTTCAGACAGCCTTCAGATAACTTGTAGTCAGCTTTTTAAATTTGCTTACCTGGATGGCCTTGGCATTTTCACACATGTTCTTTTTTTTTTCTTTATTTTTTTTTTAAGATTTATTTATTTATTTATTTATTTATTATGTGTACAGTATTCTCAGTATTCTGTCTGCATGTATGCCTGCAGGCCAGAAGAGGGCACCAGATCTCACTACAGATAATGTGAGCTACCATGTGGTTGCTGGGAATTGAACTCATGACCTTTGGAAGAGCAGGCAGTGCTCTTAACTGCTGAGCCATCTCTCCAGTCCCCTCGTATGTGTTCTTAAAATGAACACAAAGACCTGCACCTCTTGATTTGCGTGATTTCGTGGGGTTTTTCTATGTCAAGAGAGTAAGGGACTGTTTTCACAGATCTCCCCTGGCCATGTTTAGGAAGAGAGCTGGCCACTTTCAGTTGAAATGTTCTGTGCGTGTTTTAAAAGGTAGCTCACAAATTAGTACTTTCAGGGATTTGGTAACTCTTGTGAAGTCACCTAACAGTTTCAATTACTTTGAAGGAAATCAGTTACAACTTTGATTGCAAATTTGAGATTTATGAAGAATTGTATACTTTCAAACAAGAGGAATTCAGAATCATTTAATGACTCGATTCATTAAAATTCTCACTCTATCCCCCTAACAACATGTGGCCACAACAAGCGTGTAATTTTATTTAGTTGTATTCTGGCTATAATGCTTGGATGACTAGAGCCAAATGTCGGTATTTTCTCACTTGGAATATATAAATTTTACTCCTGTTATGTGTTCTCCCTACTGGGTTGTACTTACCAAGCTGCAGAAGCATCAGGAAGCATTTTCAAGGCAGTGCCACTCCCTGTGCCGTGACCCCACACCGGAGTCATCAGTGGGAAGGACAGAGCAGGGCCCACCTTGGCTGTAATCATCTTTGCCAAGCTTTCTTACTTGCTGCCCATCTGTATTTCTCAAGATCCAGACACTACATGACAAAATAATCTGTATTTATATTTTCAGAGAGGTGGTTTATCTTTCAAAATATGATTGTGAATGTTTAGAAACAATAGCATAAGCGAACTCAACAATTTTAGTTCAATACTGTTTTATTCTATATTTCATTAATATTTTATATCATATTAGTAAAGTTTTAAGATCATTGACAAGGTCCAAATTCTGTAATTATCTATTCAATTTATGAGTTACTAAATGTTCTCTTTTTAACTAAAGAAGTTCGCCTTTTAACTGTGTAACTCAGTCTTAAATATGATTGGCAGATGAATAAATGGTTTGTACAATAATTTGAAATGTACCATATTTTATATATTTAAGATAGTGTAGCTATGTGAATTAAAACATTGGCTCTTAAAATGAGGTAATTTGTTTTAAAAGCTTAATATATGGGTATACACACACACAACCTTTATTCAAAGAAGTTAATTTTATTGACATTTGTCAGATGTATGCTTATATACGATGAGGTCAGTTTTACCATAGGAGCTATGCTGGAGTTCATCAGAACAGTTGTAAAATCATTTTATATATTCTTTGAGTTCATAGTTACTTGAAAATATTCATGTAGAGATAGTAATATATAGTTATTTTTATTTTATTTTTAAAATGTTATATTATAAATTGAAAATAATCATTACTAGAAAAGTATCACTAAGGTGTTAAGGGCCAGACTTCAGAGAGAGGGGGGCAGGAAAAGGGGGAGAAAGAAAAAGAGAGGGGTGGGGTGGGAAATGAGATTGGGAGAGGATGAATGAGAATGAAAACAGGCTGGAAGGAGAGACTTCCTGAGGAAGCTGGCCCTGTGAGGCAGCGGCTGCACCAGAGCTCTGTGTCCAGGCTGCAGAGCCAGGGAAGGGCAGGTCCCACAGCGCAGCGAAGCCTGAACTCGTCCTGTGGCAGAAGTTCCCTGTCTTCAGGGGCAGTTGTTCTTTTCTAGCAGGACTTTTAACCCCCTTGGAATGACCATCATTATGGGGAGTGAGGAAATGTTAAGCTTTGTAGCTGGATGTGGTGTGCACACTTCTAATCCCAGCAGGTGGATCTCTGTGAGTTCAAGGCCAGCCTGGTCTACGTAGTGAGTTCTAGGATAGCCAGGGCTATGCTGAGAGACCCTGTCTCAGAAACAAACAAATGACCTTTGTAGAAACATCTAGAATGGTGTTGACACATGAAAGTAGCTATCATATCCTCCTCAAACAATGTCGGGCCTACTCATTTTGGGCTGTCTTCTACCTTGGGTCTGAGTTCTTCAGAGAAGATTCTTGGACATTTCCTTAACTGCTGGTTTACAAAAATTGAAATGATATATTTGTTAATAAACATTATCCTATGAAATAGAGTTTTTAGAGTGTTTATCACATGTTGCTTCCCTTAAGAGCATAATTCTATCAGGCATTTCATGAGAATGTTGCTCTACTATGGTTTCCTTGATTGTCTTATTTATTGTATATATGCGCATGTGTGTGTGCGCGCGCACGTGCATGTACTTGTGTATGGCATGCACATCCCACATGCGGCACTGTGTGCATGGGCATCAGAGGACAACGCATATGAGTTGGTTCTCCTTTCACACATGGATCTGGGATGGAACCCAGGTTTTCAGGCTTGACAGTGAGAAAGCCTTTTCCCACTGAGCCATCTTTCCATCCCTGTTTCATTTTCTAAAGTTTCTAACTTTTAATGATAGTAATTTAGTATTTAAACTCAGTTTTATGAATTGTGATAGACCATTATCTAATACTCAGTTCCGGCATAGGTAACGTTGCGTGGGTCTGTGTCCATTATCTCTTCTCTCCTTTCCTGTGCCAGAAATCCTAAGATTGTGTCCTTCACATTAGGCACTTTACTAAGCATTAGGTATGTAAAGATGTATTTCTTGTCCTTGTGGACAAGAATTGACGTATAATATCATGTGAACAAAGAGGTGCATGAATGCAGAATGTATTTATTTTAAAGGGATTGAACAGAATAGTGACAGGAGCGTCCCTTCTATGATGTAGCTGGAGCTGTGTCTCTGAGGCGATATTTTAGTTTATTCATGCAGGGATAGGTGATAATTTGTAAAATACAAAAAAACAAAAAAGGGTCTGAGGCCAAGCAAATTATACAGTCAGAAGTTCTATCTTGGGGCAGGACGGCAAAGGCCAGGTTGTGATACAGTTTCTTTGTAATTCTGTCCGTTTGGAAGCTAGAAAGCTGTTTGAAAGGGGACGATAGCCTCTAAGTAAGGTTTGAGACAATTACTCAGCCTCTCCCGTATGGACAGAGGCTGGGGTGGAGTGGAAAGACCAGTACGGTTTGCAGCACTGACTCTGCTTTCCTTACCTAATGGTTACCTAATGGCGTCGAATGGACTTAATCCGCTTAGGCTCTGGAGGAGATCAGCTAAGCCAGCAAACCCACATAGTTGCCAACAGTGGCAATTGTTGTCAGTCTTTAGTTCTGTTGTGGTGGCACTAAGTAGCTGAGGTGACCCGAATGTGTCACACTGGTGTGTTGTATCCCAGTAATCAGCTGCAGATAAGAGGCTCTGCTGGGCTGAAGCTGGCGAGCTTGAGGCTTAGTGCAGTTCATTTGATTTGTAGCCCAAGTCCTCCCTTTGTGATCTTACCTTTGTTCACCACATATGCTGTCCTGAGCCAACCCTTTCTCCCCACCTACCCCTACCTAGGAAGAGGAAGCTAGACCATGTGCTGTCCTGACACTAGATCTTTTTTACTTCACCCTGTGCACCTATTTTTAAGTTAAAATGTCATTCCCATGGGTGTGGAGCACTGTAGCCGCCTTCTGAACCTTCTGTTGTCGGCATAGGAATGTAAATACTGTAGCCTTATCCTCTGCATCTCATATATTCTTCTCCATGTTCCGTAGGAATTCATTGGCTCAACATATTCTTTCCATGAGCTAAATCTAACATATGTCCCTTGTCAATAAAATATATTTCTTCATAATCCATACAAACAAGTCTGGTGAGCAGGGCAGTGTTCTGCAGGTTTTATTCAGGGTCATGGTTTCTCTTCTGTACATTCTCTTACTAACTTGAAACCGAGAGCTTCCAAGTCAGCATCTCTACTCCACCCCTTCCTATGGTTACTCTTCACGTTTCCAACTATTAGGTCGCTCCTCTTACATGACACACAGTGACCTACAGCTTCCCGACCCAACATCCCTAACCTGAGGCAGAGAAAGTCTTCA